AAAGCACAAGCAAAGAGAATAATAAAGGATGGCTAGAAGGAGACAAAGCAATGATCTCTTGCAATAGGAGAGGGGACCAAGGGAACAGGGTGAAGGGTGAGGAGAGGGGAGGGGGAAATAAGTAGAATAAAGATTTACCATGTACAAGAACTCACAACCTCAGTGAATGTAAACACTATATCTATAATATAAGCTAAGATTAATCTTTTCTTTTCTTGAGACAAGGTCTCACTGTGTAGTTCAGGCTGGCCTTGAGTTCCCTATGTACCTTAGGCTGGCCTGGAACTCGCAGTGATCCTCTTGCCTCAGCCTTCTGAGAGCTGAGATTACAGGCATGAGCCGCCATGCCTGGCAAGCTAAGATTAATATTATCAACAAGAAGGAAAAATGAGATAGAAGAATTGGAGGAGGGAGGGAGAGAGAGGGAAAGGGAACAAGACTTTTAAAAAAGAAACAAACTGTGCTATGTACATGAAAACACTTCACAAGATGATGGCAAACTGCAAACACATACAATAAAATAAAAAATTAAAAACTAAAACAATAAAATTTTAATAAATCATAATCTAATTTCATTTAGACTTTGAAGCAATAAGACTATGACTATTCCTATAGCTATTACTATAGCTATAGGATTCTTTTTATTTCCATTCCCCTCCCTTCCTTTCAAACTTTCTTCCCCTCTCCTGTACAAAACTTTGTTCCTACTGTTTTCCTCCTATTCTTCTTTATTTTTTATATCTTCTTTTATTTTTTATTTTGTTTCCCTTCCTTTCCTTTCCCTTCCCCACTGCCTCATTCCCCTTCCCATGTGAATATTTCCTTCCTATTTCCCAATATCTATCATCCATTTGGTCCTTATTCACCCTTTGGTGAAACAAGAGAAACAATGTGATATTTAAACGTAAGTGTCTGAATTATTTTACTTAAAATAATGGTCTCAAAGTACACTAATTTAGCTAAAAATGCTGCAGACTTATCCTTATGGCACAGTAGGTCTCCACTGTATATAAAAACCACATCTTTTTTATCCATTCATCTGAAGATGGACATGTGGGCTCTTTCCAAGATTTAGCTCTTACAAATTGTGCTGCTATAAACATGGGTGTACATATTATCACTGGGGTATGATGCTTTTAACTCTTTCAGAGAGATATCTAGAAGGGGAATAGCTGGATCAAATGGAACCTCTAGCTTTAGTTTTTGAGAAATCACCACACTACCACATTGGCTTACCAACTTGTACTCCCACCAACAGTGGAGAAGTGCTCCTTTTTGCCTACAGCCTCCTCAGTATTTTTTTCTGATTGACTTCTTGATGATAACCATTCTTTCTGGAGTGAGATGGTATCTCAGTGTTTTAATTTGCATTTCTTGATGACCAGTGATGTTGAACATCTTTTCATGTATTTATTTGCTGTTTGTACTTTTTCGTCTGAGAAGGGTCTATTCATTTCAAATGCCCATATTTGGATCACATGATCATCTCAATAGACATTGAAAAGGCATTTGACAAAGTCCAAGACACATTCATGATAAAAACCCTACAGAAAATTTTTATAGAAAGTCTTTATGCCAATCTGATAAAAGCCCTCTATAACAAACCAAGAGCCAACATCATACTAAATGGTTGAAAACTGAAAGCTTTCACTCTAAAATCAGAAACAAGGAAAGGATGCCCAATATCACCACTCCTATTCAATACAGTTCTGGAAACACTAGCTGAATTAGATGAGAGAAAGAGATTTTAAAGAACAAGGATAGGAAAGGAGGAAGTTAAATTACCATTATTTACTGATGATATGATACTCTACAAAGAAGACCTCAAAAACTTCACCAAAAGATTTCCAATTTTAATAACCAAATTCAGTAATGCAGCAGAATACAAAATCAACACTAGTGCTTCTGTCCATGAATACCACACTCACTGGAAGTTAATTAGAGAAACAACAATTAGAGAAACAACAAAATTAGAGAAACAACACCTTCCACAATAGCTTCAAAAATACAAAACACTAAGGAATCAGTCTAACAAAGGAACTGAAAGATCTATACCCTGAAAACTACAGTACCTTGAAAAAGGAGATCAAAGGAGGTATCAGAAAATGGAAAGATACACTCTGTTCTTGGATAGGCAGAACCAATATAGCAAAAATGACCATGCTTCCAAAACTATTATACAGAAAATGCAATCCTGATCAAAATACCAATCACATACCTCACAGAACTAAAGAAAACAATCCTAAAACTCATTTGGAACCAGAAGAGACACATAATAGCAAAAGCAATTCTGGGCAATGAAAGCAAGGCAGAAGGTATCACAATCCCCGACTGGAAATTATATCATAACACTACTGTGAAAAAGCAACACAGTACTGGAAAAAAAACAGGCCCAAGGGTCAATGAAATGGAAGATGGAAAAACAACTCCAAGCACCGTCAGTTACCTTATCTTTGACAAAGGGGCCAAACACCTCTACTGGAAGAAAGATAGCTTCTTTTAATAAATGGTACTGAGAAAACTGGCTTTCCACATGTCGAAGATTAAACATAGACCCCATCTTTACCATGTACTAAATTAAAATCAAAATAGATCAAAGACCTAAATATTAAAACAGAAACGTTTAATCTGCTAGAAGATAGAATAGGTAAAACTCTCAAAGACATAGGTGTAGGCAAAGACTATGAATAAAACCCTGATCACACAGGAAATACTAAAGAAGCAACAACCAGCATCTCTTCTTATTAAAAAGCTTTTGCACAGCAAAAGAAATCACCAACAAAGAGACAATCCACATTGTAGGAAAAAATTTCTATCAACTATTCCTCAAAGGACTGGAGTATATCTGGAATATATATAAATAACTCAAAAAAAATCAGACCCTCTCCCTAATTTAAAGATCTTATGTTGCCCAGGTTGATCTTAAACTTATGAGAAGAAGAGATCCTTCCAAACGTTAGCCTCAACAGTAGCTAGAAATACAGTCTTTATTTCTTTTATGTGTATGCACCCGTTATTAATTACAAATAAATTATTTGTTAGAAATTAGTCAGGCCGGGGATGTAGCTCAGTGGTACAGCACCTGCCTGGCAAGCATGAGTCATGAGTTCAATTCCTGGTACAAAAGAAAAAAAAGAAAGAAAAATAGAAAGAAACTAGTCAGTAGTGAGAAGACTGCATGGTACAGTGTGGGGAGATTATGTTGCCTATAGAGAAATTTCATGTAATTAATGATTAATAGTGCAGTCATTTTGGGAATGGTAAAATATTAAAAAGCTACAGGACGTACTGAATTAACTGAATAAAAGTCCATGACACATATCGCTAAAAGAATGTACTCCGGTTTCACGGCTCCTCGCATCCACTGTCCCCATTAGCTGGATGGGGGGATTGGAAACTCTTGCTAAATTTGAAAGTTTCAGGTATTCACTGCTCTCCAACATACTCATTATTGCAATAATGACAGCAGCAGGTAAAGGCCAATTCTACAAGAACTGAGAGTGCTGGTAGCATTAGCAGCTTATAAACGTAAACCGTAAGAATTAGTGCATATGACTTATATTAGTGATCTTCCATCACCCTATACACATTGTGATTTAGAGATAATATATTGAATAGATAACAGTGTCCAGAAAGAGTAAAATTAGCTTCATAAAATTCATTGTACTGTTGTCATCACTCTAACATAAGACATCATAATGGCATTTGCAAATAAGGCGCGAATAGATGTTCGCAGCTGGGGAAGGCTCAAAAAGTGACAGTTACAGAATTAGTGTTCAATAAATATCATCCAAATGTGAGATTATATTTAGTGCAAATAAAACTCCAATCATTAAACAAATTATATTTTAAAATAGGGAAGGCGATGCTCTATGGTTTCCCGAGATTGGTCATAGGGCCAATCTTTGGCCCTGAATTGTCTACTCATCAACAGCCTTTGGATATATTTTAGTCCTTTATTCAACAGGAAGGGTGTGATCCATACACACAACAGTTATTTGTTGTGTTGTCATGTACATTTCCCATAATTAATAAATGACATAATACTTATACCTGTAAGTAGACACCTGGGAAATTTGGTTAATATCAGTCTTCTAATACTTGATAAAAATGTTGCTAAACCAGAAGCATGCTAAGTCCGTGAAAACTATATGCATACTACACATGAATACTATACAAAACAATACACAGCTACCTTATCTCTCAATAACAGATTCATCAAAAAAGTAAGATATAATTTAGTAAAAATAACCCTGAGTTGTGGGGGCAAAGAACCAACGATACCACTTTTCAACTTGGAAACCACTTCTAAATTTGTTAACCTTCTCATTTTATTGTTATAATTCAGACTATGTATAATCCAAGGTAAAAACCTAAGTGCAAAAAATCATAGTAATAAGAATAACAACAACAACAGTAGTATTCTAGAGATTAAAGGACCTCTTATAATACTTGATGAGGTAGGTATTATTATTTCCATTTTATAGAAGAAACTGAGGCATAGAGAGATAATTTGCCTCAAATCATGGAGCTCTACACTGACTCAAGATTTCAACACTGCTTAGACTGAAATTAAACTTCACAGTTTTAACCATTGTGTTATACTTGCCGTCCTAAATATTTATAAAATACTGGGGATAATGAAAACAAAAATGATAATTTCAGTATCTACAGCAACATGACCAAACTATTCTAGTATAGCCATATCATTCCTACACTTAAGATGCTAAAAGCACTAAGATGTGAACATCACTGCTTATTTGGGGTCATAGATCCACAATACAATGATAAAGCACTTTAACATTACGATGAGTAAATGCTACGGCTGTAACTTTATATTAGTTATAAATATAACTAATATTATATAGTTATAACTACAGTGTTGCTATAACATTAACAGACGCTTGCTAACACTCTGAATGGTCTTCAGTTTCCGTCACATGCACACCTGAGATGAGAAAAATCCAACAGAAATACGATAAATGTGGCTGGAAACGTACTTTGCAGTCTCCGCGTCGGGCTCTCTCCGTGGAGCTGTCTTCGTGGCATGTACGGAGACGGGTGGGGGAGGGGCAAGGAAGAGGAGTCATGGGTCTGGAGTTTGTACCAGTGCGGCTCATCGTCCAGCAATGCTGTTTCCAGTTCAATTAAAATCTACAGACCCGAAAGACAAGGCACTGTTATAGCACAATAATGTTAGAGAGATTCTCTTAGATGCTCTTACAACTTTTATAGCAGTAGTAATAGTAATGCTGCTGGATCAAAAATAAGGTCACCTAGATGTTGCAAAATTATCAGCATATTTTGACTAAAAGATGAAGTTTTCTAACTTGTTAAAGATTTACTAGTTTTAAAAATATACCACATTCACTTGATAGATCCTTGACCACAAAACTACTACTTGCTATTAAGTTTACCATGGCAGAATTAACACTTTTTATTTTTAAAATGTCTGTAATAATAGCTAACATTTGTATATCATTTTCTAATATAAAAAGTATTTCCATTCATAGTCACTAGCTTGGCATTTACAGAAACTCTTAAATGAAAGAGAAAATCCTATTTGAAGTACCTATAATGTATTAAGAAACATATTGTGCTATTCATCTAAATTCCAAAAGAATCTACTAGTGTGATCTTAAAGGTAAGGATAACAAGGATAAAAATGGTTAAAAGAACTTGCGTAAGGTCATACAACTTTAAGTAAAAAAGGTGAAGTGAATCAATCTGTCTTACTTAAAACTCTTTGTTCACTATAGCATGCTGCTAAGAGTTCAAGCCAAAGACATCATGTTATCTTATAAAATCACACAATTACCACGACAATTAAAAAACATAAAGGAAAAAAGCAATGAGCACATGAACAATACCTACAATATGGCTTCTGTAACAAGAATAGTTTAGGGTTATACAATGTGCCACTCGTTAGAGGTAACTGACTATTTTCTTTCAGAGCGCTGTGCAAGCTTGACAGCATTTGCTCTTGATGTAATGAGATCTGCTATGCAAAGACTAACAAATTATTATATTATTTACCTACAAAGGTAAAGAGGTAAAATGCCTATTATTTCACTGTTTCTAAATTTTGCCTAGTCGTTTTCAAAATTATAGGCTTTATGTTCCAAGTGGGGCTTCTTTGTTCCAAGTGTTTGCACACAGACACGCACACACCCCATATATATTTAATCCTCGTAGTAACTCTGAGCTGTATAGTAGGATTATTCCCACTAAGATGAAGCGGAAACCAAAGCACAGGTAAGTGAAGTAACTTGACCAAGGACTCAAAGCTCATGGCAGTAGCGCCCGTCATGTGTAGACCTACGCCCTGGAGCCAGGGTTTCTCCTCCAAAGAACTGGGTTACTCCTCTTCCCAAATAGTTTACAGGTGTATGACTCCGGTCCCTCAGCTGACAGCATTCAGTCCAATATCTCTACATATGTGGCTGCTCTCCTCTGAGACTACCACTAATCTACTTAGAGAATCCACCACGCTGAAAAGCCTGAAAGTGGACAATTTAGCTCGTCAGAACTGCTTCCCATCTTCCCCTCTCCACTTCATTTTCTACACTACGATTAGAAATGCTTTTCTCAAGTGTAAATGCGGTGGAGCACTTTGTCTTTACAATTTGTCCCTGGTTCGCAGTAGCCACAGGATATATCCATGCTCCTGGACATTACGGGATCTGACCTGGTATCAGTTTCACCCTCCCGCCTCGCTTCCCACCACTTTCCCTTTCACCTTCAATACAACTGCCCAGACTTGACGCCTTGTTATTCTCTCTACAGGAACTTTTACTTACCGTGACTTTGCTAAGTCCCACTTGTTTGAGGGATTTCCTTCGGCTTTTCCCTTACCCCACACAACTTTACGTATTTTTACAATTTCCCCACTATAGCGGATGCTGTGCTGCATTTCCCCTGCCATTCTCTTGTCTGTATCCTCAGTGGGCTGCAAATCCCCTGAAATCACTGATGTGCCATATTCACCTTCGGAGCCTCCTAGCACAATGCCTGACACATTACAGAACTAAAAAGTAACCCATGAATAAATGACTGAGCTACTGCCTAGTGGTACAATTGGTTTAATAAACAAGGCATTCACAGCACTATAAAATGAAGCAATACATTTGTGAATGCATTTGACCTTTTATAATTCAATACTGAGTTTTGTTAGTAAGAATAATCATGTAAGAACTGACACTGGGTGCTTGCTTTTGAGCTGGGTCTCGCTGTGTTTCCGAGAGTGGCCTTGAACTCCTGAGCTCCAGCGGCACTGCCGTCTCCACGCCCTAGAGCCAGGACTCCAGCTGCGTGCCACCACCATGCCCAGTTTTGCTACTATGTGGTTAGAACCTTTGTTTTCTATGGATTTAATACACTTTATCTTAAAGCACTAGCTAAATTCATTATGTTAAATTAAGAAACTATACTTTTACAGATGTTTGAGATATAAAATTTTACTGACAGTCATTTAAACAAAAGTATTCAGAATGACGTGAACACTTTATAAATACTTCTACGTACCTCTCCTAAAAATTCACTTTCTTCCTCTCGAACTCTAGCTTGATCCCAAAGAGTAATTTCCAGCATTCGTTCACGAAATTCTCTTCGATGGACCGGAGAATAAATGAATGTTTGGTTCCATTTAGGTTCTGATGTTTTCTTTACTGTTTTTGTCCTCCTCTTGTTTTTATCGCTATGGAAAAAAAAGAACTTGGGAAATTACATAAAATTTTAAATTTTGTCTTAAAATATATTAATTCAAAATTTATCAAAGTCAGTTAAAACTATCATATATTTATCATACACTGCACATATTGTATTTTAAATTGTTAAAATTTATAAGATGTATAATTATATCATGCTTTGTAAGTATGACTCAAGACTAGCAGTAGTTCAATAAATCTTAAATGTTTCCAGTGACAGATAACTGAAAACTTAATCCTTCTCAAAATCTAAATAAGACAACAAGGAAGATCTTAGCTATAAAATTTTTTACAAATTATCTTTACGGAAGTAATTAACCTGTAATAGTCACATAGTATTCATTTAAACTACCTAAGTCTTGCTACAAAAAGAAGATGAGTAAATTGCAATGATAGTAACTACCTATCCATATACTTTAGGTAATAAACAAATGTAATTTACATCTTACATACCTTTTTACCCATTAGAAAGACTATTTGCCTCTTTAACTGCTATCAGGTCTCTAAAAACATTGAGAATTATTTCTAGTAAACATGCCACTGTACTGTGGGCTGAAAACGCAACATGACATCCAGACAGATGGAGCTTCCAGGTCAGAGCCTTTCATACTTATTTTGACTGCATATCTCTATCACGTTAATGTTTTCAATTATGGGTTCATTATATGTACATATATTTATAAACTATATACATGGATTACTTTACTAACACATTACACTTGGGAAATATACTGTGCTGATAGGTATACTGTGAAATACACTAAAACAAGGATTTAAAATGAGATACATTTTTAAATTCAAATTATTTTCTGGAGTTCTAATGGGTTACCTGACATGTTCCCCGGGGACACACGTGTCCTATATGGAGAATGGACGAGATCAATGACTGGATAGAAACAGAGGTGTGGTGCCTCGGTCTGGACTTTAAAGGTCTCTCCCAGGCGCATGTGCAGAAGGCACGGTGGCCAGCTGACATCCCTCTGGGGAGCTGGGAGTAGCCAGGGGTGTTGGAGCCCCTGGAGGGAGAGGTCTCGAGGGGACCTGAGAGCCGCGCCATCCCCTCGCTGCTTCCCGGCCACCACCAGGTGTCAGGCAGCTTTGCCCCACAGCAACGCAATGTGGGGCACAGAACAAAGCACTGGGGCACGCGACCAGGGACCGAAACCCCTGCCGCTGCAAGCGGAAAGGACGCCTCCGCTGGGAAGGCCTTTATCTGGGCATCGTGTCACACCACAGAAAGCTGCACAGCCGGGAAACAGGAGCGGAGGGAACAAAGGGGCTAAGGTGACTTGGAAATGAGGTCACGTCTTTAAAAGTTTCAGTGCCTAATGTAGATGTGGCTTGCATAATCAAGAGATATTGGACGTTTCCCAAGCATTGTACTTAAAGTGGCAGCAAGCTGCCTTTAAATTATAATGATAATGAGTTCTGCTAAGACACTTGGAAAAAAAGATGGCGCATCATGTACCACGGCTAACTGTGCAGTCACCTGTAGGAAAACAGCACTGCAAACCCATGTAGATTTTTTTCTCAATGTACGTGGAATAGAAGTCATACTAAGTATAATAACTAAATAATAGGAACAAAACAAAGGCTGAGCATTGCTAATCCAAAAATCGAAATGGTCCAAAATCTGCAGCTTTCTGAATTCTTACATGATGTCACAGTGGACAATTCCACACCAAATTATTAAAAATACTATACAGAATTATCTTCAGGAGATAAACGTGTGTGTTCCCTATGACACATAAATAAATTTTGTGTTTACATTTGTGTCTCTTCTTCAAGGTAAGTACAGTATATGTAAGTATTCCAAAGTATGAAAAAATGTGAAATTCACAATACTTCTATCTCCAGCATTTTGGATAAAAGATATTCAACTCATAATAATAAGGACAACAATTTGTGATCTCTTTCTCTCCCTATCCCTTCTAAAAATTGTAACAGATATTTACTATTTACTTACATTTCATTCATGAAAGAATGAATTCTAAGTCCCTGTCAAGAGTTCCTTCCAAAAAAGCCAAGACATATTTAACAGACACTTGCTAATTTAATAATGATTGATAACAAAATCTGAAGGGGAATAGAAAAATAAGCCATCACCTTTCTTTAAAAACTGAAAAATGTTCTCAGAAAGATGACTATTTTAGGAAGAATTTCAATATTATACAGAAAGAGGACTCAGTAATTTCTGCAGTTCCTTAAAACTCAACAATAATTACAGTTTCAATGGACCTATTTACCATGTATTTAACGCAAATAGTGCTTGAAGAAGGCAGAGTTCCCTGGGGTAATGAAATACAAAGCGCACTTTTTAATTCTGTAGAACAAAGTAAAGCAGTCCTTTGGTAAGAGGAGGTACGATTTGGAGAGGAATATAAATACTCTTTAGCACTCTTACCAATTTTTTGATTCTATATGTTGTACTAAAATTTTTATATGAAGGGGCATAAATATTAATGATTTTTATAGATAAAAACATAATATTCCAGAAGTCATACACACGTGCCTAAAACATTAAATAAAATATGTAACATTTTACATAAGCACTAAAACAATCCCAAATATTGACTGTCACTATTTTGACTCCTAAAAATGCTATTAGATTTATGTTAAATTTCACAAGTATCTAACTAGTATGATACAGGAAATGTGCTCTAAGAATTGAAACACCCATTGCTATCAACATTTTCCCACTTATTTTCAAGGACATTTATTTCTGTTTTCCAGCCATACCTTCTATCTGGAAGAAAGTAAATTTTAACATAAGGATTCCTTGGCCTCCCATCTTCCCTGGAAGGAAGGTCCTTTGCTCCCAAAATTGTAACTATTAATTGGTGACCAACCTTGTCAAACCATAGTTTTATCTGAAAAGCAAAAGTAATAATTTATCAGCTCAAATATTTACCAAATGCATGTAAGAATATACTAATAACTTCAACGAATATAAGAACCAAATATAAGATATTTTGGTTTCATTGATAAATCACTATATGCTTTCCATTATTGTAATGTGATTATTAACATGCACATCATAATAACACTATCATAATTAAGGTCTTTAAACACAATTATTGCTCTATATCTTTCCCTAAGCCTGAATTGCTTCAATTCATTTTTGTTTCCTCTATAATGAGTTCAGAATAAGTGACAAAAAAAGAATTGGGTAGGTAGTAATTTATTAATATGTTATTGATAGGGAATTTCCAACAAATGTTTTATGATATCCCATATCAAAAGACATTTCAAAGATTGTAAGTAAAGATGATTTACTAGTAGCATTAGCCAATAGATTTCTTCAGTTCATATTCAAAATTATAATTACTTCATGTTTTTAGTTTTTCTTACTCAGACGTAAAGTCTCTTGTGAAGCAAATGCATCATATCCTTACCCTAATAAGATTTCATTTTATAACCTGAAGTGCGAAAATGTGAGTAACTTTACAGTGCCCTAATTAAGGACTGAACGTCACATCTAGCTGTGGAATTCTTTTGTCTCAGTAGTTGTGCCTCCCACATACAGACTTCCGGCCTTCCCTCCTAGCCAGCTGATGGTGCTGTATAAAAGACTTGTGAGAGCCCTGGCTCGGGCTCAGAACTCCACAGATCTCCGACCACTTCCTTGAAACTAAAATGGAACCAGAAATTTAGCACTTGAGAATTACAGGTAAAAAATAAATTTCTGGTTAAATATGAAACACTGGCAGTTCAGTTCCAAATCCACCATGGCTTTGCTGACAGCCTCACTCATGTTCTAGATGAGAAACTGAACAACTCTGGAGTCAGAGAGTGGGCTGACAGCCCCAAAAGAAGTATCATTTATTTGCTTTTTTGCTAAAAGAAAGTAGCCCTCTTTCTGGAACAAGAATAAGAAATATTCAAATTATAAAAATTGTAATTCATTGTAATTGTAATCTTTGTGCTGTATTGTCTTTATGCTTAATGTAGTTATTACATTGCTATTATGTAACAAAAACTTTTTTCTAATACAGCTGCTAAGTTCAAAAACTGAGCCTAGACAAGTTTCTGGAACTGTGATTAATACATCTCCCGCAGCAGCATTAGCTGTAGTGTTATCTCACCTACTCAACCAGAACGGCATTGGAATTTATGTATTTACTTATTTAGTAGTGAGGACTAAATCCAGGGCCTTCACACGGAGCTATATCCCTGGTCCTGCTTTATTTTTTTATTTTTCAGACAGGGCATCACCCAGCTGCCCAGGCTGGGCTCAAAAATGGTGTTCTGCTTCAGACTCCCAGAACACTGAGAGGACAGGCTTAGGCTACCCTGCTTGCACTGGAATCTGAACTGCAGCAAATCCTCCAGGACAGCCTCACATCCACTGAACCTGGAGAAATGCTGCTTTAGATCTAAGGACCAACGCCTGAAGAAAAGAGTCCAGTATCTGACAGCAAAAGGTTCAAATACTTGCTTGCCTAACAATATTAGAATATAGACACAGATAAGGGTAAGGAAATGAGAAGGGAAATGGATAAAATAGTCTTCTGGCAAAAGCCAGTTAAAGAAAACAAAGAAAGAAATGAATGGCATCTGACTCTACGAAATGAAAGACATAGCAAATTGTGTCACAGTGCCTCTAAATGTATGAGATTTATTCCTATAATATTCAGATTTATTTCTATAATATTCTTTCAGATTTATTTCTATAATATTCTTTACTTTCACCAATAATGAAAAAGCTTATCACTTTTTTTCCAGAAATTAAAAAATCTTTCTGAATGAATACCAATCACCTCATAAAAACAATTCTCAAAGGTTAAAAAAATTTCCAAAAATCTTTACCATTTAAAGATAAAGAAATTATTGTTACTCTTGTTATGAGACTAAGAGCAACATTATTTGAGCTTATTGATTTCATTGAGAACTGTTTGAGAAGCTGAAACTTAGCCCTTGACATCTTCAGAGGCAACATTTTTGCTCAGTTAAAATCTCTGAAGTTATTCATTTGAGATATATATTTCATAAGTTGGAAAAGAATATTCTTTCCTTATGCCTCAGAAAACCAAAAATATCACTTACTAATACACATTTCTCAAACAAGCAGACAGTAGGTATACAGCTTTTATGGTTTTGTGACAGTACTTGAATTAAATTATACTTTCCAGATATATGAAGGATAAAATAATTTAGATAGGAAACAAATATATTTTAATTTTATTTATTCTTTAAACAAATGATACTTTTTTGTAAACTACCTTAAGCTAGGCATTTAACAACTCTAATTTCTGTTTATATAACAAGACTTTCATTAAAGTTTTTAATGTTAGCATGAAATTTTATTACCTAGGTTATTTTATCATTATCTTATATTCCTTATCTGTGCTTTAAAAATGAATGGTTAAAATATAGCTGTTGATCCTCCAGAACATTACAAATATATATTTTAATTATAGTCCTGACAAACTTTATGTTCAATTAATTTCTTTATTAAAATCTTGGAATCATTTTAATTGTTTAATATGACTATCATCGCAGCTTTACCATGTAATCATTTTGAATTTTCATAGTAAACCTGAACAACATATATAAATCTTTGATATTATATAATGTAAATTAGAATACTGACTTCTACAATTTAAACAAAATAAGTATTATCCAAAACCAGTAAATCTTTAAAAACATGCAGCAAAGCAAGGAAGGCATTATACTACTTTTTAAAACACTCTATTGACATTACGTTACCATGGAAAGGTCTGCTAGTGAAAAGAGGCAAACAACTTGTACCCGAGTATCAGAGTAAAACAGAATGATAAAATGTAAACAAAATTGACCCAGCACTTTGTTTCAATTGGGATTTTGTCTTTACAAAGTCACGTACTTTCAAACGTTGAACCTTAGATGCCACATGCATGAAATTCATATTTTAAATAAGGTACAAATATATTTGCCAATCTCAAGGAGTTAGTGCTTGGAAAATGCAAGAAAATGTAGAAGTTCAGTGGTATAATGAATGATTTAAAGAGACAGCAAACTTAGCATAATAAAGAAAAATATCAGTAGTATAAAATTAGCTATTTATGTAAACAATACTTATATAAGTTCACTCTACAATGAATCTACATTAAATGCCACTTTGAAACCTAGACATTTTCGGATTTTATCATATATAATCACTAATAAAAATTGTCTCTTTAAATTTGTATTCAATATTCTAACCCCCATGCAGAATTTTACAAGCTGGCTCATAAAATGATTTGAAAGTCAGTACATGGTTTAGAGCAACATACCAAAAAGTTTTCCTACTACGCATTTTCCAAAAACATACAGATAAGGGATAAAACACAACTTGAGTTTCTATCAGGCAGACAAGGCCTTTACCTGCACCCTAGGAACAAAAGGCGGTGTTCTTCTACTAAGGCTTTGGCTCTGGTAAGCAAAATTAAAGAAAAAAGCAATAAAACAAAACCAAAAAGGACAACACGCTGGAACTAAAAGACCAAAAGTAAAAATAAACACATAGGACTATCCCTTAAGTACAATATTTCCGTGACAATATTTATGTAAATTAAGTAATTCATTATAAGGAATAAATTAATATTGCCAAATGCTGAAATACATAAAAACTATATAAAATATTTAATTTTGTTTTATCAGATTTTAATGTAGTCAACATAACAGTAATTAAAGTTAAATGTGAAATAACATATTCAGTTGTGTGTTCAGAAAGAACAAGAAATTTCAGATTATACCCTAAAATATCATTACCCATGGAGGTGCTGGTTCCAGGACCCCCACAAAAAAACAAAATCCATGCATGTTCAAGTCTTTTATCTAAAATGGTGTCATATTTACACACAGTGAGCACACATCCTCCCATATGCTTTAAATCTTCTGTAGCTGACGCATAATACCTAACACAAGGTAAATGCTATATAAGTAGCTGTTGCACGGTGTAGTTTAGGGAACACTGACAATAAGGCAAGGAATGTACACATTTAATGCAGACAGTTGCTTTCCAAACACCCTCGATCCGAGCTTGGCTGAACCCACAGATGTGAAACCCATGGATATGGGAGGGCCAACTGTATATAAAAAGAATAGTACAAAAAAAGCTAGGTGAAGGGGCTGGGGATTTAGTTCAGCGGCACAGCACCTGCCTAGCAAGCGCAAGGTCATGAGTTCAATTCCCGGTACCAGGGGAAAAAAAAGCTAGGTGAAAAGGTATTAAAGCACGAAAAGCCATATATGGAGGGAATTTGTGACTTCTCTGAAATGACATAAACGTAAACAAAATCCAAAAAAACCCCATTAGTTATATTGGCTTTAGAATTTCTTTGACAAATAGGCACATTAAGATATGTGTACTGGGATGCCCTGCATTCACTGAACACCATTTCCAGACATTATTTTTTACCATTTTAGACAATACTGCTTAGTGCTAAACACGCCAACCATTGACAAAGCGCATTACTCTTTACTTGTACAGCTCTTTATATTTTCCCAAGCCTTTGACAGTTTACAGCAAGGTTTTTTTTTTTTTTGCGAGGGGGGGGAGTTATCTGGTTTTTTGTGGGTTTTTTTCTTTATGATATTCCCAACAACTGTGGGAAGGATCTCCATTTTTCTGCAAATTGCAGATAAGGAAACAAAGACATAAATGGCCTTGAAACACTTCCCAACATTCAAAAGGCAAAATGATAAAATGATAGGAAATGGAGCCCAGTTCTGATTAAATTACTCTACAGTATTTCCAAATCCTCTGAATAAAATCAAGTATCTTAATTAATTTTTCTTTTGTTTTATTTCTTAAAAATACCACAATAATAGAAACTAAGTGGTGTCAAATCCTGAGAGTGTTCAGTCCCTCCCCAGTCAAGTCTCCTCCCGTGCGCCTCCTGCCTCTCGAAGCCAGAAATAGGTAAGTCTTCCGTCTGTCTCTCCACCGCTACAAGGAAGCAGATACTGAGCTACAGAAAGGCTGCTGCCACGTCTGACTATCCCTGGACGGACACTATTTTAGCTGTAAATCTAAAACAAAAAGGAAAGCACACTTGAAAACAGCCTGTTATACAACGATGAGTCATATTTCTCTCCCAGGAGCAAAGAAGTTTCACATCTAACCATTTTCCTTTCTGCCTGGAGATGCTCAGTGGAAGACAGGCTCAGCCACGGAGTGCGTTAATGATGTCTAACTACGTAACCCACGGCGGGGTGAGGGGTAATTCTTCAGCAAACAGGAGAGAAGGTGCATGAAATTCAGATATTAGACATGCTGAAGAAAGTGATTAATAACACACTCTAGAAATAAATTCTATTTTTCCTGCCCTCCCATCTGTTTTTAGACCAAATATATCAAAGTAATTTTTTATACATATTACTTCATAAGATAAAAGATTTACTTTAAAAGCAATAGCATTTTCAATTTGAAGAAAACATTTCCGAATGACCTGGAACAAACAACTCGCAGATTTAGAGAGTCAGCCTTTTTTGGGGGACAGGGCAGGGCACCATGCTGGGGACCGAACCCAAGGTCTTGCACACGCTACCACCAAGCCACATCGCCAGCCCCTGCAAAGGTTACATTTCTAAAATGTAACCTTTACCTATGTGTTTTATACACTAAATATGGCTAGAAAAGCACATTTTTGTTTTGGTATTTTTTCAGTTGAAGGAAAATTCACAAAACATACAATTAAACATTTTATTAAGTATAATAAATTCAGTGGCAATTATTGCATTTGCAACACTGTAGAATCATTACCTTTCTCTATTTCAAAACTTTTTCATCACCCACAAAGGACACCTTTACTTTAAGTAGTGATTCCTCACTCCTCCATCTTGCTGTCTCTGGGCAACCACCAAGCTGTTTTCTGTCTCTCTGGACTATAGATTCTTCATACAAAAATGAGCAAGTGCTTAATATGTGCCTCACTTAATTGGTAATGAATGACTAAGTCATTTTTTTAAGCATAAAAGATCCAATAACATTTGAGACAATTCACGCTTCACACAAATGAAGAATTTGAACTTGTAGGCCCCAATCTATTTTGCATTTTAATGTCACTTCCTACTATTCTCTATACTAACTACTACCTTTAGGTCATGGCTTTCATGCAATGTTTCTAAAATAAAGGAGTTGTGGCAATGAAGTGTAGAAGTATAAAGTTCAAGGAAAAATCTTTTGTTAGTATTATTTTTAAAGGGCTAGGGATTTAGCTCAGCGGCACAGCGCCTGCCTGGCAAGTGCAAGGTCATGAGTTCGATTCTCGGTACCAGAAAAAAAAACAACAAAAAAAAAGAATTATTTTTAAAACTCTAGAGATTTTAAGGAACTGTAAAAGACAAGCACCTATTCTTGAGTTATTTATTCCACTTAAATTTGTGTATAAAATGAATACTTACTAAAAAATTCAGAAAAAATATTCAAATAAAATAAATTGGGGAAGTTTTGGAACCATAAGTCAACCACAGATTGCACAGTAGAAAGTTAAAAGTAACAGTCAATAAAATGGGTTGTACAATGAATTCCTATAGAAAAAAGAATTCTTAGCCTTTCCTTGCTTCAAAAATGTCAAAAGTTGGATTTTATCTTAACACCCTATCAAAAAACTAGCTAAATCATGTAAATTAATTTTAAAATGATAAAAATTGCAAGCTAATCTTCTAACATAGAAAATGCTAAACTTTAGGCACAATTTTTAAATGCATACTCAAAATAAGAGCATGTTGTCCCTGAAAAGGCCAGCATATACAAACCCCGGATCAGACTGATTATCTCACCGAATACATTAATGCATGTTTGTGGTTATGCCCCAGAATAAGCAACCACACAATTCAAGCACAAGAGAGAAAATAAACTGCATACAGTTTTAAGTCAACAGCTTTGGACACAAAAATGTAAATAAATATGCATTCCATGTGTATTTTCTACTTGAGAGACTATCATTCCATGAACTGACATGAATATTTTACAATGGTCAGTATACATACTACACAAATTATCTCTGTTTTCAGGTATTAGCCATGTCATGATTTTCAAGTGAGGCATGGGCCTGAACAAAATTCCACCAAAAGCAAAAAGGTCCAAAGACAGAACAAATGGGAAAGTACTGCTGCCTTGTGACTTCTGAGAGGTTTGCCAAGAGGTTCTGTGCCCAGACATATTTTTTCAACACCAACATCATTGCAGCAAATAAAACTGTCTCCAGGACAGTAGAGATAGAGTTATACGCACAAAGAGAAATATACCTGGGATGTATGCTTCCCCAGATGCAGAGAATGAGAATAAACTTGAGCAGTCATGTAAGAATAGAAATGATTCTATCTTACCCATTTAAATTCCTACTTACTAGTACTACTCGTACTCTAGGGCAATAACAACATCTATTTCTTAAATACATGATTGAAATTTAATTTGGTAAAAAAAACCTTAGAAATATTGGGGGCTAGATATCAACAATCTTAAAATTTTACTTTTCCACTGTATTGTAATTTTATTCCCAGAAAGTTACCGTGACAAACTAATTTTGCCCTAGCAAAAGACTATATATAGATTTATTCCAGTCTTTTACAAATTTAATGTGTATGTGAATAGCTATATTTCATCATAGGTGATTTTTACACTTTTTTCCATATTTTCCAGGTTTCCTACAATAAATATGCACTATATGTATAAGCGTTGTTTTGTGAATGTGATGTGTATGCATATATAATTTCAAAACATATGCTATTAAAGCTTCCCTAACACTGTACTAGAACATATGCCTTTCAAGTCATAAGAAAATGAGAAAATGGTACACATAGTAAATTGTAATTTCATGGATCTTGAACCAACATCACTTACAAATCTAAAGTCTATAAATTTACTTCATTATACGTATACTCAGAAGTAAAACTTTTATTGTGCCTCCAAATATTTAGCAGTGTTACATTTCTATTGTATTAATTTTAAGCCATAAGGAAAAAATAGCAGAATTTGAAATCTAAAATCGTGCCTCTGTTCATTTTCATTTCTTGTCCAATTTAGATAGCACCTTAGAATTTGAGATAACAAAGTGGCAAGTGGTACTTATTACGCAAATCTAACTTCACTCCCTCCACCAACTCAAGCCATCTACACACATACACACACACACATGCACACACACACAATATGTGCCAGCATCAGCTACCCCCACACAGTATTTAAAGATAACTTCTTTAAACAAAATCGAAATCAAAAATAGCTCAAATTTGTTAGTATATCCGAAGATAGTAAAGAAAACACCCACATTTGGCAACTATAAATAACAATATATGTGTCATCAATATATGTATGAGAATAAATAAAGAGATGCTACTTATTGCAGAGAATGCAGAAAATACCATTATTCTCAAACAAAAAAGTTCACTCTATGAAAAAGAAAGAAAAACAAAACAATAAAGGAAAGAAATTAATTTTGGTGAGAAATTTACAATCTCATAGTATCTCATCATCTTTCTTGCATAACTTTTCTGTTACTGTCAAACTTGTGTTCAAAGTAGTTCAGAAAAGATATCTAATAACTTCTTTAATGAATTCCAGTATATTAATTTTTGTTTAAAATTCCTGTATCTCCTTTTAATTAATGAAAATACTTCAGAAAATTCCAACATGGATCCTTCCCCCTAAGAATAAAGAGGTATTTCTTAACTGATTTAACAGAAATCTATTTCTATTGGTCTTAAAATAGCAGCCCAAGGTAGATTATTTTAATTACAAATTTTCCTCAAAGATTCAATGTCTGGATTCTGAGAACCTAAATAGTTCCTTAAAAATCAGGAAATTTCAAGTTTTGTAATCACCACCACTGCTGGCAATTAAAATAACTGAATAAATTTAAATATATTAATATATTAAAATGCTGTAATAGGAAATGATAACAGAAAAATTGAACTAAAATGAGGACCTACATTGCTAAGTCTTCTGATATGGACATAATAAGAACGAATAATTAACATTTTAGCTGCTATTTTAAAATATTCAAATAAGGGCTCACCTAACCTGAAAGTACCTAGTATATTCAGGAAACTATTCTGTACCTCCCCATTGTTTTGTCTGTTGACAAAAGCATCTCCAGAATCTTTATATCCCAGAGCAATAGTCAAAGTCCAATATTACTACGAAAGTCATCTCAAATTTCCTGAAGGTTGAAAAGCAGAGAGTAATATACACAGATCTACTTTTATTTTATATACAACCCTTGTATATTGCAACATTCATATTCTCTTAAGAATCAATGACAATTCATAATCATTTTAAAGTCTAGTCCATGACCTTAAATTTTGGAATAATTATTAAGGCAAAAAGGGGTTTAGGCATCCTCACAAAATCTAAGTCTCAACAAATTCTAGAAAACCTAACTGTAATAAAGAAAGCACTAGGATACATAATCAAAAGTGAATTTCAATTAATTAAAAGTATTGAGAGTAAAAGAGTTAACAGTTAAAAGCACAATTATATTCTAGGAAGAATTTACTTTATAAATACTAGCACCATAGTTTTAAAAACACAGTTTAAAATCCCCAAGTAGAAAAGAGTTAGTGATTACATACTGAAACTTGTCCAGATAGGAACTGTGGAACATCCCTCAGCATGCCGGGACTCATGGGAGAGGTAACGGAAATAGATGGACGATCCATTTTCTGAGATTCAAATGAGCTAGAACCTGAAATGAAAATTATACATGAAGAACAGTAAAAATGGCTCTTTACAGCCATTTCAGAATTTTTAGCATACATCTTTTAAATGTCTATAAAATGCCATTACATGGGCCATTTTCTTAGGCACAAAGGTACCCACTAAGGCTCTGTTGTTGTTTTTAATAAAACACAAGTGGCACAGAATCATTTTCCGTACCAACTGTGCTTAACCAGGCCCGACCTCAGAACTGAGCACTTCATCTTTAGTGCATCCTATCTTCATGTTACAATAACACAGCAAGAAAGTTTTTAAAATAGAAATAAAGAATAACCACAAGATAAATCAATAAAGCAACATAAAGACAGTCTAAACTTTAAGTGCTAAGAATGTAAGAACTAAAATCTCCAAAAATACTGAATGTTTCCAGGAAGTGATTTTTTTAAAAAACCATATGTTGAAGAATATAAATTAGACTTACAGAAAGGAAAAGTGATCCATAAAAAAAGATACAGGATAGCACAATGAGCAGAACTTGTACCCAAAAAGTCTGAGTTTACTTCTAGGGCAGGGAAGGAACAAGTTGTCAGGTGAGGAGAAATGGAGCTAACAGGAGGTGGGCGGCCTGTGTGGTGCGAACTCTGGACAACGCATTAGGCACTAATAACATACCCACACTAAGCTCTACTGTGGAAGGAAAGAACACCGCATTTTAAGGAAGATGGATTTCTCACCTATTAAAGTGGGGACTGGAAAGAAGAAACATGGAAAACAGTTAACAGCAAGCAGAATTCCATCCGATAGTACAAGTAAAGTTTGTGCAAAGGGAATGAAAAGGAGGAGTTAGAGGGTACCACAAAATTAGAAAATGAAGACCCTAGGGCTGGGCATGGCGGTAGCTCACTGGTAGAGTGCTTGCCTAGCACGTGCAAGGCCCAAGACCGGACCCCCAGCACATTCCACACACACACACACACACACACACACACACACACAAACCACCCAGAAACTACTTAGAAACGAGAAATAAAAGAAAGACAATGAAAAGCATTAAGATTTCACGTCTGGTAATGAAGTGTGGGATCAAGAAGGTCTTGTGTTTCTGTTATCTCTGGAAAAGAAAGTGCTGATGTTTCACGGGATTCCGAACGCTGTGTTAAAGGAACGAGTGGAAGTGTAAAGCAGATAAAACACAGATGGAATGAAATGTCAGAGTAGACAAACATGGGAAATGATCCTGCAGCTCTGTATGCCCAACTGGAGACACAGGTGGTGAAAGTCACCCCTACAGAGAGTATTACACAAAACTAGGGAGAAACGACAAACCTTCGGTTGCGAAGTGAGGATACCCTTCACACTATTTAGAAATGTAAAGAATGATGCCTTCAACAGTAAGAACTAAGGTAGTCTCCTACGGTACAGTTGCAGGTAAGCTAGGCGTGGTGGCACACACCTGTAAACCCAGCACTCGGGAGGCCGAGGCAAGAAGACTGCTGCAAGTCTGAGGCCAGCCTGCACTACACAGTGAGACCCTGTCTCAAAAAACCAAATACACACATACATATGTACATACCTACAATGGGAGATATGAGGGTAATGATAATAGTAACACTGCATATAACGGTAACAATTATTATGTTATAGGGTTCGTGTGGTCATGGACACAGCTTTAGATAAAATGATCTAGCACTTGGCCAAATGTGCTAAATAAAATAGGTCATATGACTTTATTTTAAAGCACACAGCTGTGACATTCTAAAAGAACTTCACCCACCTGGTATAGACTTTTAACGACATTTATGCTCACAAACGCAAATATGAAAGGACAAAATCTATTTGGCAGGGGCAGTGTTAGACTGAGCTCAGTGGGCAACACGTGCAGAATACACAATCTGCCACTAGGCTAGCTCCCAGCCCAGAAAACGTCTATTTTCTGTAACACATTTTACTTATTGAGCTGTGAAGAGAACTGGACGACTCCCCAGGGTCCTCACTGCTGTCCCCGAAGTCTGAGTCTCCCCTAAGTTACCATGAGATTATTAAAGTGGTCCTGTCACTGGTCTTTCCACTTCTACCCAACTGTGTTTATTCTACTTTCAGTACAGGAGCCAGACTGCAAAATGTGAACATCTCCTCAGGTCTGTCCTCTGTAACCCCCCACCACGATTTCCCTCCAAGGAAAAGCCGGAGTGCAGAGCGCGGCTCCCAAAGCCTCTGCAGTCCGCCCCACTGCCCCTCACCACCTTCCTTCCTCTGCCCAGCACACTCCCTCCAGCCTCGCCACCCTCACACGCCTGGGTCTTTCCTGCTTGGAGCCAGGGCGCCGGCTCTGTACCTGAGCAGCTCTCACCTCCAAAGGCCACTCTGAGTTTTGCTCCAACTCTTGCTCAGGTTGGTCTACCCTGGAGAACAGACTGCAAATGGCAGCCTCTTCCTCTTCTGTCCCAACATCGCTTACTCTACTCTTGATCAGAAAACAGCTCATGGGGGAAAACCACTTAACATGGGAAATAGCATCCAAAACTAAGAAATAAAATGCATGATGTATTTGACATTTAAACATATCTACCGTTCCATCGCTGCTTTGATGTTAAATCACAGCTATTATTTTACTTTCAAAGCTATAAACATGAGCAAGTGCAATCATTCACTAGTTCATCCCAAGCGCTTCCTCCTACTCACAGTGAGGATACAAAGTAGTAAAGTTTAAAACTCAAGGAAAACTTCGGGGCTAAAACTTTGGGAGTGATCGGTGTGTTCGTGCTTTGTTGTCGTGCTGACAGCTTCGGGGTACTTCCTTTTGCCAACACTTACCTACCTGGTGCTGTAACTGTGTGGCTTGCTGCACTATACATTAATAAAACCACCTCAGCATCCACACGAAAGGTAGCGGGGTTTCAAAAAATCTTTAATTATTATACAATTTTGTATATTTTCTCATAGTGACATGAAATGGTACTAAATTATCTAATAGTATACTTAGTAATAACTTTATCTCTTCACATTAATAAATAAGATGCTTCATTTGATCTATGATGAATGAATTAGTAATAACATATATTTTTAGAATAAGTGAAACTTACTGGACTCCAGTTGTGCATGTGTGCTATCAGGTATTCTAGGTATGTCTCTGAAATGACAGGGAAAAAAGGAAACTCTTTCAACAATGCAACTGTCGCTTTGATCACTCTTAGCATATACAGTACTCAGCAGTGAAAAGTGAAAAACAGAACTGTGTGTGGCACAGGAATTATATAAATAAGAAACAAACAAGCACCTTTTACTAATAAAACTTTTGGGCTAACACCATTTAAAAGAAATTAAAATTAATATGTGTTTGTTGTAGATTTATAAAAACATACACTTTATTTTCTATGTGTCCCACTACACAATTATCTATCCATGCTAAAACATTTTTGTATTCAATATGGTAAGCTTTACAGGTATGGTCTTTTTTTTTTAGTTCTATTCTACTCTTTATTTTTACCTTCTGTTATAAATCAATACTATTAAAACCGAAACAAAATATCACCAAAGCATAAATTAGAATATTCACATTATAATTGAAATAACCTCACAGACCAGGTATGGTGGCACACAACCTGTGATCCATCACCTGGGAGGCTAAGGACTGCCACAAATCTGAGGCCAGCCTGGACTATACAGTGAGTTCAGGGCCAGCCTGAATTACACAGCAAGACCTTGTTTCAAAAAAATGAAACTAATAATAATAATAATAAAATAATCTCACAGAGAAAAAAGCAAACATGCTTTTTATGGAGACTTTCCAGGTTTATCTTGTAACTACGTTTAAACCAAAAACAAGTATACTTTTTTCATGTGGGGTGATAGTAGCAGGGCCATTCACAAAGAAGTATAAAAGACTACAAATTATCCAAGATATTAAACAAAAATATGCTTTGAGGATACTTTAATACCAAGAAATACATTTTTAATACAATAAGCTGATACACTACCATTTTACCATATTATAAAACTATGAAAAGGCAAAATGAAAAATGGATACAATTTATTGTGCAAAATACATAAGTTTGAAAGAAATATTTCAATAAAACTAATCTACCAATCTAAATCATTTTCTCCAGCATAAAGACATCAAAATAATACAACACAGTCCTTATCTAAGTGAAATAAAACTAGGCATCATTATACATCAAAGAACTTCCATAGACTTCCCCCTCAAATGCTCTTGCTTTCATGTTCACTTAATAATTCACTGCCAGTTTACACTGCTTTTGTTGTGATGTAAGTATACCTTTACACTGGCACACAGTGTAAGCTTCTAGAGAAGAAACACAGTACTGTGACAAAATGCACTATTCTCGTAATTTATATGAAAGGACTATATGCTCCGCCAACTTCTAGAGGGTGTCGAACTGATCTATGGGCAACAAATTTAAAAACCAAGGAATAGTTGGATTTGATTTGCCTATTTCTGGTCTTTTTAATTACCATTCTTTAAAAAATTGTTTTTCCTTAAAAACTTTCCTATATCCAGCAATTAGGTGTGCTTTGCTTCTTTATTTCCTAGGTTGAAATCTCCATTTGAAAAATACGAGATTTGTACACTCATGTCATAGTATTTTTTACAGTGCAATCTCATGATATTCATCTTAAAAACAATTGTTACTATCACCTCCTGCTTCCTTACTAAAGACAGTAGCCATCTGCCAAGCTGGTAAGACAGCAAAAATAAAAAACATTCACATACTTCTTCTTCTGTAATTAATTATGTATTCCATAGTCATGAACTTTGGTGAGATGTGTTTGGTAAATAAAGCAACTCAACATTTGCTGGTTGCACAATACAGCCTGCTTACCAGTATGGAGCCAACTTCACACACAAAGTCCTGACGCCAACCTACCCAATAGGTCTTGAAACCACAAGCTCCACTTGTGGGTCAGGTTTGGATTCAAGAATGATGTTGTACACTTCCTCAAAGGTGGCTCCTTGCAACAGCCTCCCACTCCATTCCAGCACCTCATCACCTACAATGTCAGCAGGAACAATCTCAAAACTAAGAAGTGGAAACGAATTCCATGAAATATACTTAAAATAAAAGCCATCAATGAATACCAGAGAATAAAAAGCACCACTATGAATAAAAAACATACTGAAAACAACCAGTAGTACAAAATCTGATGATCAGAATAGTATATACAGTATTTTATCCAAAACAACAATGGTCAGAAGGAAAAGGATTATATAAACAGTCTTAATTTGACTTCTTAGTAGAAATTCTAATTGTAGATAATTATCAAGATCTCAACACATATGCATCTGAGTACCTTGTTTTAAGTTTTCATTTCCTAAACATTATTTTGTGAAAAGTTTAATAAATAGCACTTTATTGAAACTTCTTCAGGGATTTCTCCAATAGTAACATTGTCTAAGTGATAGGGAGTGACACGTTTTTAGGAAATACGTATATCAATGAAGTTTGCTTCCTAAACTATGTTGTAATTTTTTTCAAAAGAAAGAGTACACTGATGGGCAACGAAATAAATTAATACTAGATACAGATTAGACTGTCCATCAGTAGAAAAATAAGATCAGTAAATATAAAAATGATTGCTTCTAATGTGACACAAGACATTACAGCTACAACTTTCCATTAATGAATAAAGATTTATATCTAAGGAAAATAAGCTAGTCAAATCACTTCTAAATGAAATTTTTCTTAACTGTTCCCATTTAATATTTTAAGTGTAAATAAATGATAGTAGAACCCTACCTGGTCTAAGATGTCCTACAGTATCAGCTAAACTTCCCTTTTTTACTTTGGTAATGAATGCACAAAGCCGACCTGATTCAGTCATCTTTCCTCCCACAACCTGTTTAAAAGAGGAAAAGTATTGTTAAAATGAACATAGGGGAAGATTCAAATGAAAAATATCTGGAACAATTTGAAGCTTCTAAAACTGTAATTTAGTGTACTGAAAATCATGTCTTCAAGTAATGTTGCCATCAGGAAACGAGCCCAAGTCCTCAGGCTGTCTCCTCATATTCCAAACACGGTGCGATTTAAATTCACTGCTAGAAATGCTGCGTGCTTTATAAACAACTTAGCAATTTGCAACCTTTTCCTTATAATGTGAAATGCTTACTTTCGTCATTTTCCAAAGCATATTATTAGAGTACTGCATCATTATATAAACATCTCTAGTTATAAATTTTGAATATTACCAAATATTTGTCACTTTTACTGTGATTATGATGTACTACTAAATTTTCACTACTTAGTAGAATTTAGATACACAGTAATGTGCACAATGATGACAGTTCTTCAGAATATTACAAAGTTTACTTAAACTTCACAACATTTGAAACGCAATTTGCCCATTTTAAATTTGTCTATTTTATATTTCTATTAAAATATGTTCTTTGAAACTCTATCATTTCTAATGTTTTTTTATTTTTTATGCTCTTTAAAAGGAAGAGAAAAATGTTAGGAATAAAGCTATGGAATCATATGTATACTTGTAGGATATTGGCTTCTTACAAAATTAATGCCTTGCTTCTGACTAAACTACCATCCAAGCAATGTCAATCAAACAGTAGTAAGTGAATCTGTTAGCTAAAATACGTTGGTTTTCTTCCTCTTCTAAGTTAGGGGGAGAACATCTGATTTTAAAAGTCACTAATTTCTCTTGTTCTATGCATTTATTCCACAATTATAGTGAGTTACACTCAGTTGCAATTCAGTTAATACTTACTGGACCTGTGCTTGATTCTGAAAACTAAATGTAGAGGTGTTAAATGGGCTTATGTCCTTATATAAATATTTTTTAAATTTCACGTGGTTTGACAAATTTTAACAGTAATAATCCATTGCATTATCTGCAGTTGTAGTCACTGAAATGTTATGGTGTACTAAATGCTTGTTTACTGGTGTAGCTAATCCACTTTTAACTTCAAAACCATTACTGCACAGATGAGGAACTCAAAGCAAGGAGAAGTTGAGCTGTCCAATGCCATGCGGGTGGGAACCTCATAAGAGCCTTCCTGACCTCTGCACCTAGCAGACCTGCTTCTCAGTCCACCCCCCTCCCCGGCCGCCCGTCACCACCCTGACAACCACGGGTTACAAGGCCTCTGTGGGCTGATGCTGTGAGCACTGAATGTGACCACAGGTGCAAAATGTTCAGGTAAACCCCAGTCACGTGGCAGCCACCCAGTAAATGCTACTTGCCAATCCCACTGACACCCAAACATTTCTAATATGCGTAATTTACCACATTGTACAGTATATCTCTGGAGCAATGGCTTAACTCTGAGACATTTACTTTGTTCTCATTGCAGCTTTTACTGACCGCTGATGTGCAAAATCAAACAGAGCTCTATTCGCTGTATCTACCAAATAATTTTCCGATATTTTCCAAAATATGAATTAATATTCATATTTCATCTCCTAACATAAGTAATTTTGGGTTGCATGGCTTAGAATGGTAGTCTCTAATTACACACACACACACACACACACACACACATATTTTACTACATTAATATAAGACGTATATTCCTATGTAATGCATATGTTACATTTCCCAGGCTTGCATATTGAATAATGAAGTAAAACTATCATTTAAATATAATTTAAACATAGTATAGACTTATAGGAAAAGCTATATAGGTAAAATAAGTTTGATCATTGTGCTAGGATTCAAATTTATTATAATCAGGTTTTTATCATTGTCTTCCAAAGTTAAATACGTAAATACTATTGTGGAATCGTGTCTTCTTAAATAATACATGGAAAATAAAAAGTGTTGGATGATGACTGTCAGCATTTGAGAACTCGGGAATATGGAAAAAATGCCTAAATGGATCTAGGTAGAAAGAGGTGCTATATCCTCTGTTTTTCTGATAAATTTGCAAAGGAGTAAATCACCAAAATCTCATACATTTTATTACATACCTTTAAGCCAAGCATTGCTCCAGAATCTCGAGGCACACTTCCATCTTTCAGACGCTTATTTAATAAAATACGACCAATTAAGCGATCTCCATCTTTCGATGGCTGCCAGGTCACGGGGTGCTAGCATATTGCATCAACAAACAAGAAAAGTTAATGTTTTTGGACAAATGACTCTGACTGTACAAGCTCTCTAAAGTGCAGAATTCTAAAGTGTTATGATTACACAGACCAACTCATGTTCCAAAAAAGCTTACTCTTAGAACCTCAATTTTATCATCTCCATATTTTTTCAAAGTCAAATTCTTCAGTTCTCTAACACAGCTCTGAAGTTATAAAACTCAACAAAATCTGAAAGTTCTTGAAAATATATGCAAACTACACGTGATTAAGATTAAAAATTCAAAGGCAGAGTTGACTGAAATTCAATGCCATTGAACTCTCTTAAAAATGAGAATTTTCTCTTCAAACACTTTTGGAAGATTTTGAAAAACTATTAAAAGGTCAAAGTAAAGGTCAAATTAAAAATTAAAATGTCAAATGCTATTAAAACATAAAATCTAAACCCATGATGGAGGCTTTGCTGAATAAGTTTCCAGATTAAAATTCTTAAAAAACGCACAAGCCCCCAGAACTTTCCAATGCAGTCCGCGTGGGAGGAACAGGCTTCATTCAGAAGGAAGGCTAGGTCATGTTCCTACCTGCACAGAAGCTCACTGACTCTTTCAGATCTTAGATTTATTTATCAAATTGCCTTCACTAGGTAAGTTAATACTATTTACTGCTAAATAATCTTGAAAATCTTGTTTATTTTTTCTCAAAGTAGAACCATTGCCTTTATAAATAATGGCACCGTTCCATTACAAATGATAAGCTAAATAACAAAGTAAATGATTTGTGTAATCATAGCAGTTTTTCAGTTATCTAAAAAAACAGCATGCATATCTTCATGCAAGATTTAGCAGGCAAAAAGACAAGTTCCAGTGAATCATATCTATATGGTAAAAAGATTTCAAAAGCCTCACTAAACTAAAAGCAAAAATAATAAATATCAAAGCGGATGAAAATGGCTCTAATACTAATTAGTACCACATTAAAATGCTATGACAATAAAACAAAAGAGTAAAATGACAGTGAAAGGGAAAAAAGAAAAACAACTTTTTCTGTGCAAACAGACCCAATTTTCTCCCTTTGCCTGGGATTCAAACTATTAATAATTTAATTTTCATCCCAAGGAAAATATGCAGAAACAATCAAATAAGCCAATCCAAAATATTGTTTCTTATTTGTGGTTTATAATAACATTACAAAGTTCTCGCATGCAACCATAGACAAAACATTCCTTTGTTCCTAAGTTTTATTTTCAGTTACTTAATTTTTGGTATGCCGTTAGACAATAAAAACAGCAAAGCAAACAAGAGCTTTTTTGGTTTGTTTGATTTTCGTTTTGTTTTTCTTTTCTGCACCTTAAGAAATGCTACATTAACCCTTGAAATGCCCTGTCCTTTTATTATATTCTATTTTAATGGGTGACAGAGAGCAAACGAAGACCGAATGAGCAGGTAAAAGGCAGGCTCCACAATCTCAGTACCTTATCACTATGGCTATGCTCCTCGTTAAGGGTTGTGCTACTACAGGTATCTACCCCAGAATCCTTAATCTGAGGCTCAGACCATTCCAAATCCTCTTCCAAAGAGTGGCCACCAGAGCACATCATTTTCTTTTGTCTCTCAGACCTGGTGTTAGAGTCCGACAAAACTGCCTGCTCACTAGTTTTTCTTTTTCCCTTTTGACTGTCCCCTAAAAATGTGGGATAAAAAAAAGATACAAAAAGAAAACATGCAAAGGTGTAAATAAAAAAGGAAAAGTGAAATGATAACGGAAATTAAATAGTAAGGCTCCACATGTCTCACCAAAGACATTGGGGATGCCTCACTGCTATGCCAAGATGTATGGTCCAACCAGTTGTAATCCATGTCTCCTGTGAGAGTCAGACAGACAAAGAGTGCAGTAAAGGAGACAGAGGGGAAAAAGGACAGACAGAGACATTATCAGCATTTTGAACTCTGTAATCCCGGCTGGTTTTAAAAGCTTTGTCACACTCATCATATGCATCGAGAGAAAACCAAGATTCCAAATGAATAAACTCACAGAAGGTGGACTATCAGGGTTATGTACGCTAGGCAGACTACAGAAGTCCTGCAAGAAGAAAAAAGGCTAATAATAAGAACAGAAACAAAGAAGTGGATATGCTGAGAAAGACGAGGACTACCAGCTATATCTGTTTCTCATGCTATTTTTTTCCATGCTGGCCTAAAGACGAGTTTGTTTTCCCAAGACTAATAAACATCTAAAAAATTAAATGGTGATTTGCCAGTCACCACCATTTTAAATGCCAAATAGTAAGTGTTGTTCCTTGAATGCAGTATAATACCCTTGATAGTGGTGAACTGTCAAAAATTAGCATGGTTAAAAAAACTGGTTGTAGAGAGAATTAATTTCTGTAAAAATGAAAAAAACAGATCCATTAAATTGTTATTTTAGAAATGAAATTAATTTTACTTAAATATCATGAATTAATATTACTTTGAAATAACTTTCTTCAGAAATTGCATTCTCATGAAAAGTAAATGTTTTTACACTTGATCTTAGCCAAAAGGCCGAGAAGCAATGAAAAGTAAATTTTTAAAAGTAATTTTGTTAGACATTTATATATTTGGCAATTAAGAATGAAAATCCACTCCCCAAATTTAATGGATTTTTCCAAAGTCAATACACCATATCTGAAAAGAACTTTTTTGTAGTCTATGTATGCACATTTTTAAACTCAATTCAGACTTTTATTTATCAAAAAATATTTACTGAACACCTTCATTTGCTATGTCCTATGCTAAGCCTTGGCATAGGGTAAAACAAGGAAACTTGTTTAAATCACAGTGAGGATAAACACAATAAATCATCAGTGCCAGAAAGGAAAAGATAAAAACAAATAAAGTCTAACTTAGACTTTAGAGTCAGCAAGCACCTTTAAAGTAATGACATTTCAGATGAAAACTAAAAGATATGAGCAGGTGCGAAGTAAGGAGATAAGCAGAGGCGAAGCAGAGGAAAGAGCACTCCAGGGAAAGGTAACACATGGCAGCGTAGGAGCAGAGGACAGCGGTGCATCTGCACCAAAAAGAACCAGGAGAATACAGCGCTAAACAGCACGGACGAGGCGTCACGACACAGCGTAGACAGGTCTTCCATGCCAGGGGAAAGATTTAAATTTCAACCGGAAATATTTTAAGCAAAATGGTGACGTGATCTCATTTGCACTTAGGAAGATAAATCTAAGTGCTGTAAAGAGATCTCATTGGAAGAAAACCACAAGTTAAAAAGCATTTGCAACAACCCCTAAAAAGGTGGTCACAGCCTGAGCAAGGTGATGGCGGCAGATTTGGTAAGAAAAGGGAACTGACTTATGAGTGCAGGTGGAACCCGTGTTAAGGAAGACGGAAGAGGCAAGGCAAACTCCCAGGTTCCCGGCTGCTGACCAATGAAAGAAAGAAAAGACAAGGCATGATGGGAGAAGACCAGAGGAACAGCACTTTGTCACAGGGAAGGGGCTAAGGTAATTACTGCTTCACAGAACCGAAGGTACCACTGACCGAGATTCGTAAATTTCATGATATCAAAATGATTAAAACTTGTGTCTTAGCATTTGTTAAAAACAGTAGTTGGTTCTGTTATATATTCTTTGAAATGTCTATAAATTATTCCAGTGGGCATATAATGTCAGTCAAAATGAAATACAACATTTTCATCTGGAGACATGAATTGCAAATTATTAGCCTACGATAGGAGTGAGGAGATCATTTGAGAGCAAGGGTACGTAATTTATGACTGGGACGTTTAAAATTTCATGACAGAGGGGGGAGGCAGAACGCAGAGAATGAAAAGGAGGAAAAAATAGAGGAAAGACTCCACACAGAAGAGTGCTTCCTAAAAATTAAGATCATCAACTATTTTGAATGATTTCTAAGCATTAAATAGGATGAGGAATTGAAAAGTATACATTTGATTAGTCAACACGAAGACCAAAACCAAGGTAGAAAGAGCAGTTTAAATAGAATGATTACAATTAAAATCAGATTGAAGTATTTGAGAAACAAACGGGAGATAAGAAGAAAAATTTATGTAGATGGATGCTTCCAAGTGAAATTCCCAAAATAACATCAGTAACATCATCTGCAAACGTGTCAGAAATGTAAATTACTGGGCCTCGCCCGAGCTCGTGAATCAGAAGCTGACTGACTCCAGCCCAGCCTTCTTTGCTTCCACACCCTCTCACTAACGCTGGAGAGATGGGGTGAAGAATTTTATTTATGAAAGCGAATGAAACTGAGTTAGCTAACATACACGAAGTAAGTTTTGCAGAAAACCAGCGTTCTTTGACTTGTTAGCTACAGAAGTGCACCTCAAGTCTTCTGCACAGCACGGGTAAAGAGCTGGAATTTTAGACTGACACCACGCATGGGTAAAGGAAGGTGGGTACTCATGCTGCCCATGTGGCTCCTTCTGCAGCCCAGGGTATGCTTATGCCGCTTGCCCAGTGGCCACTCAGAAATCTAAGACTCTTGTATCTCAGAAAACCTGTCACCCTTTTGAAACACATTATTCTACAACTAAACATTAGTAAATCTGTAAATTACAGGAAAATATGGTATGGTACCTGTAAATTAAAAATCTTGAATGACAAATAAGAAGATGAGAGAATTCACCTTACAATCTTTCCTTTTCCCCAATGCCTGCAATCTGCCAGAAACACAGAAAGGTACTCTTTTTCCCGTAAAGTAAATAAGCCCTTTAACCATTTGAGGCTAAAGCAAAAAAACATATGAATGAACTAGAAACAGTTTCGGGTACAACAGGTACTGAGTAAACGCTGGCAGAGTGAGTAAAACCTGGTGCTGGTAAGAATTGAACAAGACAGTGAATGTCAATCATGCAGAAACTAGTTTTAAACTGCCACAGCTATTACTATGTAGATAATACTTATCACTTAAAATTCTTATTCTCTGTAGCTGCAGAAGGAAGACCTAAGGTAATAACATATTTTTCTTCAGTAGTAGTACAAAAATGCAGTGCTGGGCCTTCTAGTTCAAAAATTAAAGACACAAGGACACATGAAAATTTTAGAGCTGCAAAATAATCAACATTTAAAAAGACAAATAGATGGGTTTCTTGCACTGGGCAGAGAAAAGACTCAATGATTTTGAAAGGAGAAGAAAAAATTAATCTGAAAAGCAGACCGACTAAAAAGTAAAATAAAATGAACAGAATCTTAAGCCCCTCAGAGATCATAAAAATGTGTACCACTCATAACTGTACTTCCAGAAGACAAGGAGAAACTGAATGGCTGAAAAAGCACTCAAAGAAACAAGGGCTGGACGTCCCCCAGCATGGCAAAGCTGTGAACTTGCGGGCACAAGAAACTATGTACGCCCCAGAACAGGACAGGGCAAAGAACTCAGGCACGGAGTTAACGTTAAAAACAAAGTACCCGGATGCAGCAAAAAGAAACACCTTACCTAAAGAAGGAAAACAATTTGACAACAGATTCCTAATCAGAAACCTTGGTGGCCTAGAGGAAGTGGCACATGTTTTTCAATTACTAAAATAAAAGAAACTACCAGTCTGAATGTCAGTTATGATGCAATTACCTCACGAGGCTGGCAACCATTCCAGACAAAAGAAAATTACGGGAATTTGTCACCACCAGACCGAAATAGCTAAAGGAAGTTCAGGAAATAGAAAACAAAAGGAAGGAACCTGAAAATATTGATAAGAAATGAAAAACGTAGTAAGCAAAACTATAGATAAATACAATAAACTTTAATTTTCTCACATTTTCTAAGATATGTTTGATGTTTGAATTGCAAAGTACACATTGCCCAATGAGGATTTCAACATATATTCAGAACATACTTGAACACAATAACTTCAGAAGAGAACTGAAGGATAAAAGGTTCTTACATTTCATTTATCTGGTTAAATGTAAACACAAGCAGTATGTAATAATTTATATATAGAAACTATATTACCTAGAGCAACCAAACATACAAACACACACACATAATGAAAAGAAACACTATAGATAAATCAAAATGCCATTCACAATAAATGTTCAATAGCCCATAGGAAGACAAGAAAAAGAAATCAGAAATAAAAGAGAAGAAACTACCAGAAAACAAACAAAAAAATGGCAAGCAACAATAAAACTGCAGATTTGCATTCCTCATGAACACACACAAAGAAATTCCTAAAATATTAGCAAATGTGTAAAAAGAATTATACATATAACCAAGTGGGGTTTATTTCTAGAATGTAAGACTGAATATTTCAAAATTAGTGTAATCCATGCCAATTACAAGTTAAAGGAGAAAAATCAGGTAATCCTACTACAGTGATCACTGATGAAAAAATTCAAAAACACAGAAAATAAGGAGCAGAGAGGAACTTGAACAAACAGATAGTAAAAACATAAAACCTACCTAGCTAAGACCATACCTAATAACAAACAGTTGAATGCTTTATATGAATAGAACTTTTTCATCAAAGACTATGTATTAATAATTGTAAACGCCAGATAACTACACAGTTATCTGCACACCATAGAATGGTACTCAGTGTAAAAAAAAATCTATTTATAATTATAATATGGATGAATCTCAAGTTCATTATGCTGAATGGAGGGAAAATCTCGATGTCACGAAGAGAATGTTTTACTAATGAAATCATAATTCTGTGTGAACATT